TCTTCCAGGAAAGAGGAAAGAAAAACGAATGAAAGCACACCTTCATTCCTTCACAGGAGGCACAGCAGTATAATGTGCTAAGACACAGGTACTGTGGAGAGCAAAATGTGACTTCAGTTTTTCCTTAGAACATGGTAAAGGAGTGGAGGGAAAGAAAAAGGCCATGCATTGTCTGATAGTTGTGCAGAAAGCAGCATCGCACCCACATTTTCAGAAAGCCACAAGAGTGTGTGGGTTCTCTGTTTTTGGAACAAGAGCACAGTGAAAGCAAGCTTGTTTACTTTAGACACTGTACAAAGGCTTTTTTTTTAAATAAATGGTTGAAAGGATGCCTCCTCTCTGAGGAGTTAGCAGAAAATAAAAGGCAGATTTATATGTCTAATCTATGCAAATATCTACTCTACAGGGCATCACAAAGACTGCTTTATATCAGACAGTATGCAGATCCCAGGTGCTTTAAATATGCCAAAAACCTGCACAGCATCTCCACCTGCAATGGCTGCTCACTGAGAACAGCTGGATGACTAAAAAGAGGTTGTCTAAGTAGCCTTTCATGAAAAATGCCTTTTGCTAATGTGCCAATCCTCATACTCCCACCCAAATTACTCCTGATGTAGCTGCCATTGAGTCTGAAGAGGGGGGTTTTTTGGTTTTTGTTTGTTTTTGGTTTTAATTTGGTTTATCACAAATTGTTCCAGAAATTTTCAAATTATAGCAATAAGAATATAGTGAAACTCCTACTGACACCTTAAGAAATTATCATGGGGTTTTAAATAATCTGTGGAAATTGAAAACATCTGTGGGACTGGGCGCCAGTAAAATGCCATGACCAGCAGTCAAGGAGATGCTGGAATCACTTAGATCTTGGAGGAGACAGGGAATATACGCAGATGGGAGCCTCAACTCAAGAGAAAAGAAAGAGGGTAGAAAGCGTAGGGAAGTAACAGGTCTAGAGGGTAGGAATTTGCTTTCCTAGGAGAAGGCCTAATGCCTAATGCTATTACATTGAAAATAAGGCATAGAAATATTATTTATGTCATGGTCATTACCAGAAAGAAAAGACAGGTACTGTATAACTGGTGTCAGCTTTCTGTAAGTTTCCCCAGGACAGGTCAAGAAACATGGCTCCCCTGAGAAGCTCTGCCAGTCCTACTCAGAACCACGAACAGAACAAGACTGACAATGTCCTGCTGGTGCTTCTTACCCAGTCCCAATGATTCACTTTGCCCAAACAGGAAAAAACACCCACATAGCTAATGTTTGCATCTTTAAGCAAGAGTCAGTTTTACAAAAAAAGAAGGGAAGAACTGTAAGCTAGAGTCAGATCTGATCTACTAAAATCAGTAACATGTCCTCCAGAGTACTCTTTGCCTCTTTTTTTTTCTTGCAGGCCTCAGAGATTGGCTTCAAAGAGCTTAAGAGCTGAATAAACTGCTCTTAAGTCTTTTCATTTTCTTTCCCAAGGATCCTAGAGGCCCTTCTTTCTTATATTATCAAAAATACCTATTACAAACTAACTACAGGCACCTCACCTTAAGACATGGCAGTACTTGTGTTTCTAAGACAGGTGCCTACTGCTCTACAAGTCCTCAGTAACCAGTTACATGGCCAGTCCAGGCAACCCATTCACTTACTCAGTCACTCAGCACTCATCCACAATTTGAAATTATGAGGTCATTTGGGCACAAACTGAAATACAAGAAATACTTCCTAAGCATAAACCCCCTCCTTTACTGCAAGGGTGACTGAACAATGGAACAGATTTTCTGGAGAGGGTGCGGAGTCTCGCCCTCCATGAATACATTCAATATCCAATGGGACAGAGTCCTAGTGCAATCTCCTCTAGCTGACCTTCCTCTGAGCAGACAATCTCCAGAGGCACCTTCTAATCTCAGCCATTCTGTAACAGCTACTCATGTTTTGCTTCAGCAAGTCAACAGACACTCCCAGTCCTGTGAGGGACAGCACTGACTTCTTTCTACATTACTATTCCACTCCTCTCCCAGCATGTCACGTGCAGACAGGTTTCCATAGAGTCTGTTCCGCACTGGGGGACATAATGCTTGGAGCAGTGTTACTCACTCTTATTTCTGCATCCAGACTTCGCTTGTGCAATATAGGAAGTTACCAGCAAAACCATGAGGAGCTCCTGACCACTACCATCACCTGCAGGCAGCTAAAGTCCAGTGGCCTGCAGGTATAATTAGCATTTTATACTTCCAGTGGTAATGATAAAATGTAAAGGAGTTATGCTTCTCTAAATATTGTCTTATTTGTACTGGGATTCTTCCTGTTGGTCCCAATCACCAAACAGTAGCAGAACATAAAATGGTCCACAAATTGTCTTGAAGAGGCAGACGGTCTTTCAAATAGAAATGATTAAGGAACACTACCTCAGAGCCACTGACTGATACCCTAAGTAACACTTCTCTCAATCATCAAAACCCAAAAGCCTCGGATCATTTTCCCTTTTTGCGATGACAGTACATAAGGAACAGGAGGTTGCAGTCACTGGAAACAGGAAGGAATATTCAATTCAGCAACAAATCCATCAAAACCAGCTGTCAGTCTCAATCTAGATCAGAGGCAGAGTAAACCAGCTCAGGAAACCAAGTCCCAGGTTTTTGAATGTTTCCATGAACACTGACATAATGCATAAGCATTCTCAGAAGACTTTTCATCATGTTCAAGGAATATTAATCAACCCCAGAAATTCTGGAGTCTACAATTAACTAAAAGCTTTGGCTGAGAGATTTGGTTTCACTTCAAGCTCCAAACATGGCCAGGCAAGCTCAGGGCTGGAGATGTTTCCACTAGAGAAGGTTACAAAGGTTCACTAATAGCAGTACTGTCACCAGCTTTGCAGCTTCAGCCTTTGGTGATGGTTTAGTTTTGGGGTTGAGTTTGTTTTGTGATGGTTCTGTAGCTTCCCAGAAGGAGATGAAGTGTCTCATCACAAGTTTTGCATTTAAGACAGATTTGTCGTTTGTACCTAAACATAAGTCAAATACATAGGCACTGAGTGGGTGAGTCCAATGCCTACCTCAACATTACATGTAATCATGTCATGATCAAGCCTAATCCTAAAAGCAGCCAGTATCAAATTAAAAACAAATGTTTAATCAGTTTACCAAGAGCAAACAAAGCCAAAAAAAGCCCTACAAGCCCCCATCCATCTGTCCACCTCATCATGCTGTAGGCTAAGCCTTTCTCTGCCATTTGTTTCAGAAGAGTCCTCCGTGTCCTCACCTTTCATTGCTTCAAATACGAATCTACCTATTGCACAGCTGAAGGTTCGCTGCCATCACACCATCTACAGTGCAGCAATTCCACTTCACGGAATAAACAAACAGACCTTAACAGGCTGTTCTGTATCTGAAATCCACTAGTAAACTGCGGGATTTGCTACAGACATTTAAAGAAACATAAGAGCCACTTATAAGACTCTGCAGCTTATGTTATCAATCACTTCAGAAAGAAAAACAATTCAGCAGCCACTCCAGTTGAGAGCACTGCGAAGTTCAATTGTCACTGAAATGTTTTGTTATTACCAACCCGGGCAGAATGAGCAAATATACCCCTGCAGGTGAGCTATGAATGAGCAATCAGCACTGCAGGCTGCAGCTTGAAGAGATAATAGCATCCAAGTAGCTACAATGCTTCCTTACACACAACTAGGCTAGGATTGGGCTGACAATATGAGCAACAGAACATTTCAGGCATTCTGTCTGCACATTAAATAATTCTGAGGGAAAAGAATATGAGGCTTCCCTCTCCCAATGCATACACAACAAGAAGACACAGATACAGACAAGCATTAATGTTTGGTCTATTATCAGAGAAATGTAAGCTTTATGATGCTTTTATCCCACTGTTTGGCAAGAAATCAGCATATATATTAGTCAAGGGGTGGCTTGACAGCTGCCATTTTAAGAAACAAATTTTACCAAAGTCAATTTTCCAGTTCAGTGTCAAGTAAAAATCCCTTAAAATACACAATCTGTGATATAAAACTTCTTGCACACCTTCTAGAATTAAAGCCACTCTTCCTCCACTATTTATACATCTTTTTTTAGACCTTATGACCACGTGGTGAATTTCAGGTTTGCACCAACAGAACATTTTTTTCAGTGCGGAGGCTTCTGCCACCCTGTAGCCTTCATCCACTTATTCCAGGTTTTACCTCTAGTTTTGCAGATGCAACTTTCCTCTAGACCAGATAAATGAAATAATTTTGGTTAAAAGAAAACAAGCCCACCCCTTTTGGGGTGAGGTGGGCTTTTGTTTCCTTGCTCTCTTTTTTTTTTTTTTCTTTGAATTAATTTAAATATAGCACAGATGTGCAAAAACCACACAGTGATGTGGTTTACAAAAATAGCCCCTCAAAACAGTTGTATTGTTACAACTCCAGCACAGGGCTTTCAATAAAACAGTAATTCCCACTGAAGTTGTTTGCAAAAGTACGCCCTGATCATAATTAAAGACTAATACCCTCCACCAGTTTTAATCTTTTTGTGAAGCATAAGGGGAAAAATGAGGAGCGGAATGGGCAAAACCCACAAAAAGATGCCAAAGTTCACTTTCAGCAAACACAGGTAGACTTAAGAATACTAAACTAAAACTCTATAGGACCTATAGAGGTCCTTTGCCTATGGCTTCCTTTTCATCAGTAGAGGGTTACGGAAAAAAAAAAAGTATGGTCACCATGGTCCCTTTTAAAATTTATGACAGGTTTTTAAACATTTTAAACATAACTATTACTCCCTTTTTTTTTCCTGCAGTTGGTCATGCATAATCATTCACCGATACAGTGCTTTTTTTTCCCCTCAAGCAGGCATAATTAAGTGATGATTTCTCTCATTATTTTCCCCAGTTGGGCAATCAGCAGGAGAGGAAATAACAGGATGATACCTGAGCAAATACTGAATGCCAGAAACAAAGCAACTGTCCATTCCCTCCCAGCTCTATCATGATAGTGTGAACTGCAGGAAACCACATACCTTGTTACCTCCTGCTGCAGCCGGGAAACACTGGGCACATAGAACATTACCCCAAAGAAAAGCAAGGGCTCATTGGCAAATTTGTCCAGCTGCTTCTTCAGAGGCTTTTCCAGTTCAACCCAGCGATCTTGCTGGTTCTTGCTGAGAAACCAAAGGCCAAAGTAGTGAGTCTAGATAAACAAACAAAATAGTGTCAGTTTACCTTTTCCAGCTAGATCACATGCACACCCACAATGACACAAATGCAAATAAGAACAGACGGCATTGTGTACCTTTTTCCATATGCAAAACCAGAGTAATTTCTTTCTTACTGCCCTTTTTTGTAGGACAATTTAGAAGACAATCTCTTCCAATGCACATTGAAGAGCTCTACCTGACATTAAGGCACAGGTGACATAAATGATTTACAGAAAGTGTCTGAGTCTTTGTTTTCTTAAAAAACACCAGTGCCTTGCAAACAGACAGCAAACACTATGTCTGAATTAAAGCACAAAGGCTTCACATGACTTTGGAGGCCCACTGCACACAAAGGACAAGGACTCTTCCAACTATAAAAAGAAAAGAATGCAAACCCACATGCATAAGTCAAAATATATCTACCAATACCAGAACCATTTACCCAATGCAGAACGTGTTTGCTCCTTTTTTTTAATACACTCACAAGATTTTATGATGGACAAATATATGCTTAAAATGTGCATATCACACAAGTTGTTTGCTCTAGGCTCTACAGAAATACCAGAAAAACCTCACCTGTTTCCTATCCAGTGTAAATCTCAATGGCTATAGTACCTACTCTATAAGCTCCATGGGACTGCTGCTGGTGAAGGGTAATTACCTACTGCACAGTTGAAGGTTCACTGGAACAGCGTTCACTGGAACTAAAGCTTCAAATACTATAAATTGGTAATAAGCAGCAGAAGGAATAGCCAATCCATCACAAGGGATTTTATTGAAAAGCCCTTAAAAACATCAAGTACTATGACTACAGATCTGAAGAAAAGATGAAAAAATTTGTTCGTATTTAGCAAAGAAATTAATCCATCATGCATATTTTCCATGCTTGGAAATATGTCTGTAAACCTAACTGTAAAGTTTGCATCAACACCTTTTTCTTCAGTTTTTCATCTGAGATCATCTGGAGATTTCTAGCAGCATCTTCAATATAAAACATCACTTCATGCTACCACCGGAATCAATGAAGCAAACTGTGAGAGGGACTTTTGGGGACACCAAGCGGATTTAGGGTCTGAAAGTGGGATCATTACTATTTCTGTATATTTCTCATTTTATTTCAATAAACTTTTTTCTTGGTGTTTAATCCAACTGACTCCCTGTTCAATGAAAACTTTCAAGTAGTTTCCATTAGATCAGATTAATCCTAAAACAAATAGAACATTTTATTGTTATAGCTTAATTTACCTGGACAACAATCCTACCAGAGGCAGTCACAATCCTTTAAACACAGCACCACATTTTAAATAAAGATACTTGAGACAAAGATTCCTTATTTGCTGTTTCATAGAGTTTTCATTTGAAATTATATTTAATACATTCAAAATATTTGGCCTATATAAATCAACTATAAATATTTCATTGACTGGACTTCCCAAATGTTCACAGTTGTAAATAAAAAGTCTTCAAAAGTAGCAGGCAAATTGCAGATGTTAAGACTTTGCAAAATCCACCATCAACAACCTGTTTCACTTTGCTAAGGAAGCTTCTATAAAAACCATCACATGCACCATGACTTAGCACACAACATAAGGACAACTAATGCAATACCAAAAATTTTAAATGCTTACAAGTGACAACAAAACAGCAGGGGAAACCCTGCTTCAACCACTTTATAGCTGAAGGCACGCAAGAGACAATCATGCAAATCTCTGAATGGCAGCACAGGTGTATTTACTTTAGGGTCTCATTAAATACGTATTTTTCACTTTGGAGAACGTCCAGACTAGCATTGAACTAAGGTGATAACTAATTCAACTTGATTCCTCAATTAAGCCTGACAAACAGCTTGAGCACTGCTCAGTCTGGTACAATGAAGCAAGCCTGTTTCTTTGTAGTATTTCCTTCTAGAAATTAAAGGTATCTTCAATAAATCGATCTATCTACCAGGGCACAAATAAATCAAGAAGTCAGCATCTTTCATAGGATTAACTTAAAACAAAACTAACCAGTTCACTCATACATGTCTACTCTCCCTTTGTAATCATCAGTGGATAAAAAGTTTTTTCTGACAAGATCACCATGATAGTAATTAGATTAAAATGAAAGTGGGAGGAACAGTGGAGGCATCAAACAAAAGAGATTAATGTGAAGACAGAAAAAAGCAGTGATTTTACCATCTCATAAGGGAAACCCTTTAACACAGAAATACTTGAAAATCACTGTAGGGCAGTTCACTCTCAGCAAGAAACAGTGCAGAGCTAGGAAAACAGAGATTCCATATTACTTTAAAAAGTAAACATCCACATCACCTAGGACCCAAATTTGCAGTGCCAAGTACTGGTAAAAGATCTAGCAACTAAGAAGGTTCGGACTCTGAAGTCTAAGAGTTATTCAAGGGCATTGCAATTAAACAGATCGAATGAGCACAGTCCCTCCCCTTTGAGTGGGGGTTGGGGGACAACAGAAGTTTAGATTTATTTCAGTAAAAAGGCTCTTCAAGTACCAAATCCAGAATCCTGAATCAATTCCAAGGAACAAGAAGTAAATGAAATGCAGTGTTGAAGCTTCTAGACTACAGCAGATAACATGGACCAAACATGGCAGCATATATTTTGCACAATTAAAAGACAACTGTTTTCCTGGAAAGCAGCCTGAAGATCAAGCAATTGCAAATTAAGCACAGGAACTGAATACAGAGCACAGCTAAAGTCACAAATGCATCCACTTCGGAGAGACAACCCACACAGTTATCTGAACAACAGCTTCCTGTCACAGGAACTTTACTTCTTGAAAACATTAGTATTTTTTAAGAACACACGGTGGAGAAGAACTTTTGCAGCCACTACTTTGAATGCCTGAAGATACTCTCTCTGGTAGGAACATTAATAATCCCCAAACAGAAATGGAGGATTGTGGGACTGGAAACAGCTGGACCATCAAGTTCAATATGCTAGGACCAGGCATATGGCTGTCCAGAAGGCCTCACAGAGTGTGAGTCATCTGTTGCCATGCTCTTCAGTCCACAAAGCATTTTTGTTGTACAGACACTTCACAAATCAGTGGAGGTGATATAAAAATGGGATCTTTAATCTATAGGTGGCTGATTTAAAACTAGGTTGATTCCAAAAGCTAGTCTGCTTGTCCATCTGTAAAAAAGGGAATCACTGACTTCACTCCACTTTTCATGGAATAAATATCTATACCTGCAGCTGGCAGGCTCTGAAGTAACACAGACTGCTCTCAAGGTTTTAAAATTTGTCTTACCTACCACATATTACCTCATACGTAGTACAGGGAAGCTGGTTTACACTCCTCTAGGAGCTGTGGTCCTCTTTTAAAGCAGCAGACAAGAACCAGAGCACTTCTAAACCCCAATGACACTATGTGAAAAGGTGATCCTGGAAATACAGCGAGTCAGAAAACTGGATACACAAAAAACTGTGCTGAGAAGTCTTAAAATAAATTATATTGTAGCTGCCAGTCAAGAGACAACATATTCATTTTGAACTTGGATTTAGCTATATTCCCAAGTCCAGAACTACCCCTGCCTTTATACTGGGCAAAACAAGTAGAATTGTCAACAACCAGAGATGATAGGCAATTACTAAACCAGCAAATGTCATTCAAAAAAATTCATCAAGACTGCCTGGTGTTTATTAAAGCATCTAGTTAAGTGGCCAATATTTATCCTTGAGAAAGAGACACAGTTCCATCTCCTCTGGGCAAAAAGCATTAAGCCCTGCTATCCCAGGGCACTTGCACAGAGGGGAAGGTACCATTTACAGCAGTGAATTATTCATAGAAGGCCTTTTGTCCAAGCACTGCCTGACCTGAGCCCCATCCCAGCTTTGTTGGCAAAAGCAACCTGGTTGCCAAACCCAGGTTTTCAGTCATGCTCTACAAGAAAAGGGCACCTTCTAGGGCACAAGAAAATAAAGGTCAGAATCCCAGCAAAAGGGTACCCCTGCACCGTGGTCAGCATCTGCCTGCAATGCTGAGCTCATCATCCTCCTGCTTTGGATCATAGTGTTGGAGACAACACTGTGAAATTTAGCTCAAAAAAATAATGTTGGTTAGAAAGGACCTTCTTGCCCTCTCCCTCATTTACAGTATGACAGAACATACCATCTTTAAACATTTTAAGGATAACAAAAAGAAGAAGGAGACATGAAAACTCACAACAGATTTGTACAGATTACCCTGCTATTTCAAGCAGGTTCACCTAGTCTCACTTGAAAGGAAAAATGCGATTATACTGGAAAAAAATCTCTTATAATCTGTGCACATACATACAAGATTATAAAATGACATTTCTGACCTTGTCTTTCCATCCTTTCCTTTCCTCCCCTCTTCTCATCTCTACTTTTTACATAATGTTGGCACAAAAGCTTATTTAATTGGAAGTGGTAACTGTCCAACTAGAAGACCTGATGCTTTGTCAAGAGCCTTGCTGAAAAGGAAAAAACCAGATTTTACAGTAGTTACATGGCTCCACTTTCTACTGACCTATTCCTGAACCCTGACTCAGTTGGGCAGGGAGTTGCATTCCCCAGAGATCAAATAGAAATATGCATAATCCATTAGATACTGTTTTTCAGTCATGTGTGGTATGATCGACAGTCCTTCACAACAATGCATATCTCAAACAGTTTTGCCTTTTAGCAGGAAGGGTTTGGACAATTTTTTTATTTATTTCTAAGAAATTGGTTTGAGTGAGACAAGGATGTATTCCTAACATGAAGCTAGAAGTTGTGGTATACCTGCGATTTATTTAAACGAAGACCTAACCGAAGTATTAACTGAGACTGCATGCAAGAGATAAATGGTATCTTAGTATTATTTCATTAGCATGGGATGTAATGAAGCTTGGCTTATCCTTAATTGTACATTACAGTTTGCTGATTTCTACAAAAAGGCATATTCCAGCTGAAATTTTTGCTGCACTTAGGGAATTTAAAAAGTTTTTCTCCAATATGGATGCTTGTAAGAATTTTTGCCTCAGTACACTTAATGGATTTCTCTACTTAGCTATGCAGTTGCACAAATCTTGTAGAAATTTGAAGTTCGTCACAGTATTTTGAACCTTCTGTAGAATTTGACTGGACAGCAAGTTCATGGTAAGCCTAGGGAAGGAAGGAGACAGTCACCAAATTACTTCATCGGCCTTGTTTCCTTACAAACCATGGCAGGAAGACCAGAGGTGTAGAAGAAGAATTGAATTTTGGGTCAGAGAAAGGACAGTATCCAGCACCTCCAAGGTTGCTAGCTCCAACTATTCCTCATGCAAGGAGCAGAAGAAGATACAGGGAGACCCTCTCAGAGTTGAAAGAAGTCAATAATTCTCTCCTAAAAAAACCCAAACAAACAAACAAACAAAAAAAGATAAAACCCACTTCTGTCAAAAAGTGCTGTATTGTTGAAATCTGAACTTTACAAAACTAGTTCAATGTTGCCAAAACTTTGTTTAGAAAAAAAAGCAGGGAAGGTGATGAAAGAAGGGGAAAGCGTTCCAACAACATCAAAGCATTCTCTTCTGTGTTGTTAAAATATTTTTTTATCTTGAAACACAAACTTTTTGTGCTGACATATTTCTTTTTGCATGACAGAAATAATTTTGAAAATGAAAAAAACCCAAAGCAATAGAAAACCCCCTTGAAACTGAACACTGACCAAAACAGCTTCCTTTGCTACTCTACTGTCCAGTCTCTTTTCTCTGGAAAATTTTGAAGCTTCAGGCTTTGGAACAAAGTGGAAAAAAACAGAGATGATTCTACTAAAATCCATATTAAAAAACCAAGCTTAGTTTTCAACTAGGTATGAAAAATCACTACACAATATTCTCTCTGCCCTGTTCCTGCCTGCATGTTCTCCTGTCTATTCTGCACATAACAGAGTGAGATTCTTCTCTCATTCCTTATGTATGAATGCATGAAAGGAATTTTTGTTTAGTTTTCATCTGCGATAATTATTTGCATGCTACTTTCTAGCTGCCACTACTACAAAGGTCTATGGACCAACTGCATAAGACACTGCAAGGGGCTGTAAAACACCACCACCAGCTGTGCTCACAGAAAGTACCAGCCAGGACAGTCAGATGACAATGCAGCAAATTCCAGGCAGTGGTTTTCAACCTGTGATTTGAAAAAGTCAAGAAGCATGTAGGATACATGCAAGGAATCCACAGAAGGTAAAAGTCAGTCAGTTCATTTGTCCCATGCACGCTGGAAAGCTACTTCTAAAAAGGATTCAACACTTAAAATGAACACTAAACTCTACAGCAAGAAGTAGATAAATAAGGATTTCAATCCTTATTAAGGTAAGACTGGTTTCTTCAGCCTTTCCAGAAGCACTGGGAATGTAAAAGAAGCCTTTCAGAGTTTCAGATGTAAAATATTTCAGTTAAACAAAAGGGAAGAAAAACCCACCATCCTCAAACTGACCAGTTGCACATAACTGTTGCCTATTTCAGTTTTATAGTAACAAGAGTATATTTATATGAAGGTGGATATTTAAAGACAGGGGAGTCTCCTTCCCAATGGCATAATTCAGCCATAAGTGCTGGTGAAACCAGGCTTACATTCAGAAAAGGTTAATGTCCCTTGGCATCCCAGTTCAGAAACTAACACCCATGGCTTTCTAAGAAAAGAAACCTCATGTTCGTATTACAAAGAGCTCTCAAAGCTATGATGGATGAGCAACAGCCCAAAACCTCGAGTGCCGTTCTGCCTTCAGTTTTCATGCAAGCAGACTATGTTTGTCCAAGCTCCAGCTGCTGATCATATCTGGCCAGCTCTGAGAATAACACAATTCAAACGAACAGACTGCCTGAGCTCAAAATGTGTCAAATTATACAGTGACAGATGGTCTTTCCTGGGTTACTCTTACCTCACGTAATTCCAGCCTCTGAGCAACAGCTTCCAAGCACTCCTGCCCAGTGCTCTCCACGGAGAGGGTGCACTCGATCACATTGCTGTCCAGCAGACGGATCCTTGTCACAAAGCAGTTCTTGCTCAAGACGTTGTAGCATCTGGTCCGTCGTCGCAGTTTCAGCCCGAAAGGCATGGCTGTTGGCCTGGAAGGTCACCCCTTCCCTGTACTCTTCTGAGAGTTATCAGCACACTTGTCGACTTGCCTCAAAGGCTTCTTCAATTGGTACCACTCTCCTCCAGAAATGGAGATAGCTGTCCATTCCCGGGGCGAGCTTCAAGGGATTCCTGCAAAATACGTACAAATAAGTAGACTTAGGTGTGAAATAAGGTGTTCCCAAAGTTCAGTGGGAAAGAGAAAAAGCTTTAGAGTCACATTTAAAACCATAAAATAAACACCTCCACACACAGGATTGCCAGGCACTTACTTCATCTCCCAAATGAACACCTTATACAACTCACCTTTCAAAATACTATTTTGGCGCTGAATTTAAAGCACAGATTTAATTACAAAGTTGTTCTTTGAGAAACTAAGTACAAACAGTAACTCTATAGAGCACACATCCAGAGGTGCTAACTCTCCCACTATTACCCCCACCACAGGGGTCTCTAACATAATCTTCAAGTTTTGGTGCCCTCGGGCCAGCTTTGAAAACCAGTTTAAAAAGCTAAGGAACAGAGGCATTGAAAAGAGGTGCGATTTTGAAAGAAGAAAGGATGTCATCAGTCAGCAGGAAATGCAGGCAACTCAGCACCTCTGAAAAAAATCAAACCTAAAATATGCATGTGAAAAGCAAGAAGCATCTCAGCCATTTCAGAGAAGCCTTCTCTGAGGTTCACTTCCAGCTCCAAAGCAATTCTGCATTTCACACTTTCAGGTGGAATGAGTAACTGCAGGAACACAGCTGTCAGAGACCAGGATAACACTGAGTGGGAGCAAGAGAACACATATTCTAGATATTGTTTCTAACTAATGCTCCTAAAATTTGTCAGGGACATATGCAATTGTTGAGCCAAAACACCAACTAGACAGAAGAACTAGAGATACAGAAATAATAACAAAGTGAGATCCACTTCTTTTAAAACAAAACAAAGCAAAAAGTTTAGTTAAGAGCAGGTTCAAGCTAAACTAAAAGAAAGCATTTGCACTGACACAACCAGCTTTCCATGTGCTGAGAGGAATGAAATAAAAATGAAATTACTTGCTACCAAGCCTTCCTGGTTTTATATGAACATTCTGGAGAAAGAAATGGAGGAACACTAAATACTGGCATTTAAAAGTCCGTTTCTCTTAACAAATAGTACTGCAGATGAAAAACTAGATCCCATTTCCTTGCTACTTAAGAGAAGCAAGGGAAGGCATTGCCAGCAGAGTATGCATCATTTAGCTGAAGATGACATTTCAAAGAGATAGTACATTGCCCACATGTATCCTTTGGCACAGAACTGCACAGATCAGTTGTTTTCACTTTTTACTGAATGTCGTTGTTATGGAGACTTTTAAAAGCTGCCCATTTGACTGCAGTGGTTATCATTACATTAGAAAAATAATTATCACATATTTCATAAAACGTATTTTCCAAAGTCACTATAACTTGGCATTTATTAGGGGGTTAAAGCAACACAAGCAAAAAGGAAAAAAAAAAAAAAAAAAAAAAAAACACACCACAAAAAACAAACAAAGAGAAAACCACAAAACTTTTCACTGGTAAGGTATGTGACTACCCTGGTAGTCTACTAGATACACCAGAGAAAAGCCTAGAGACTTTGAGAAGGGGTAGGTGCTACTTGACTGAAGTGCAAACAAACCTATCAAATTAGCAGCTGTGGTTTAATCTCCCATTTTTAACTTTCATGGGTACAGACATAATGTATTATTTTCACACAATTGCATGAGATAGCTGTTATACCTTGCATTGCTGTAACATCAGAAGCCATCAAAGACACACAAATACATCCTCACAACAATTTGATAAGGCAGGGATGTGTTACTCATGACTCACAGAAAAGGAATTGAAACAAACATTCACCAGTTTGTTCCACATGGCTTAGGAGAATGGCTTCAGATCTATCTACTAAAACATGCAGGCCAGGTTACAGCTTTAACCCCTGCCAACTACTTGCCAATCACCATGCTGACCAACCTATCTGAAACTACAGCATGGATTTGTAAAGTGGGAAGAATGGAAGGAAATTGCAGAGAGGGAAGGGTGTGGAGGACTACATCTTATCAGGAACAGAATTTTTTTTCAGGCTCTGGTTTTGCAGACTATTTTAAGTTGGACATACGGAGAGTTTTAGCTGGTCGATTCAGTTCAAAAAAACCCTTATCTTTCATTACTGTAAGTTGCACATATATCCTTGCAGAGCATAAGCCATTTTCTTTACAGTAATTGTAGTTACAGTTAGTAGTACCCTAAAGATGAAACCAATGATAGTTAAAAAAACCCAAGTGACTGGCCTTGCTGTCCAGGCACATCGAACACTACAGCTATTGCCAGACAAGCTACCCCAGAAGGCAGGTGTGCAAACTCCCCAATTCCCGTATAACAGAAATGTTGATATGGATTGCAAATATGTTGCTTTAAATTGTATCATACTCTTAGGTAAACAAGGCCAGTATTTTCCCCACTTTTCAAAGGCAGAGAAGTAACTTGAGTTTTCCCTTAATGCTGCTGAGGGCGATCAGCCACCAGCATTTCCTAAAACTGCAGATGTACAAATGGGTTAGCGGATGCACTTTGTGGGTTATCATTTCATTTCACTTAAACGTATGTGAACGCCCAATGACATCTCTCTCACAAAAAATGTCACACTTAAATTAGCTTCCAGTTAAAGTATGAATTGGAATGGCAAGACTAGGAACACTTAAACCAACTCAGATTGGCCCAGCCTGTGACAACTATTAATTCTCAATTCAATGTAGGTGTCTAAGTTTTCAGTTTGCACACATTCTGGATGTCTGACCAACTTTTCATTACGTTTTCTTGTAAGATTACTACATAAGATATCAAAGGCCCTGGTCACAGGCTCCTAAAGTAAACAAGGTTCTTTAACGTTTGTATCATCTTAAAGGCATCATAAGCATTCATTTTTACTCATAGTTATTTTGTAGATGATCAAAAAAAAGATGTTGTTGAAAGACAGAAGTGTTTTGGTCTTCCAAATGAAAGATTCCATTAGAGGATCTCCTTTCCCAATTTAAAGGTTGCCAAGGAGGAGCAATGTCCCTAACCAAGTTAACCCAACTGTGCAGGTGTTCACAACACTCCTTTTCTCAGACTCACACTTCCACTTTAAACAAAACAAAACCAGTGAAACTAAGGCAAGCCTATAAAAAGCTTATCAGATAACCATGAACCTGTTCTAATTTTAACAAAGGATTTCTATTAAGAGTGTTTCAGCTGTGAAAGAGGCAGACGTGACAAGTTTCAAATTGTCATTTTCTATTAAGGATTCATTTTTCTGAAGAGAAATTAGACTGGGCTCTTTAAAAATTTTATTTGTTTTTTTGTTGTTTTTTTTTTTCTTTTTGTTCAGTGTTTTCATTATTGTGTATTCTTTCTTTACCTCCCACTGCCATCCTTCAACTTTGAGTATCAATTGCTCTTTGAGAATTAAGTTCATTCTAAGAAGTGTGCCGAATTAAACAAAGTTCTTAGCTAGAGCATAAGCTTTGGAATTTAAACACTGTGCTAAGTGGAAATTCCTTTTTTTTTAAGTACATACTTTGCAGGCATATAAAATACACAAGAAAGTTTAAGTCCCTCAACCATTTCTCAGAAAACAGCTACAAAAAAATAAAAAAAATAAAAAAAATGCTTTGGAGAACCACATACAAGTTATCTGCCCATCTAACCATCTATAAGCAAGCCATCACTATTATTTGATATGGATATCAACTCAAAAGTGAAACCTCAAATCAAAAGTTGAAATAGGGTCCCTCTGAAAAACAAAAACATGGCACTAACATTCTCAGTGTCTTGGAAAGTAGTAGTCTGACAGACAGACTTTTGCAATGCTTAGATAGGCGTGTGCTGATGCCAGTGCTGTACAAAAGTAGAGGCATAGTTGGGGAACAGCAGGAACAGGGCAGCCATGCAAGAGGGGGGTGAGCTGGAGCCAAGGGTGACCCTGGCAGGACAGTGTCCTCACCCATCACAGCACAGCCTTATAGGGGATGAGCTGATAAGCAGAGCTGGGTGCTGCAAACAGGTCCATCAGTAGCCCCAGGCATGGCCTGCATTGAACCAGGTCCAGGGGGCTCCAGTATGAGGAGACAGAGCTGGAGGATGATCTGCCACACAACTTAGGAAGAGGCTGATCTGAAATGGTCGTCCCAGACCTGTGGGCAGAGAGTGGGGTGGAAGCCCCAGATGAGGCTGGTCAGGGCCATTGAGGTACACAGGTGCACTGAGAGCCAGAAAAGGCAGCATCGTTCACAGGTGCAGGACCAGGCCAGCTCTACACTCTGACTATATTTTCAATCTTTAACTCCTTCCAGTGCACGTTCATCTGGGATGGAGGCTCCATTTTGCAAAATATCTCTCCTGGAACAGTTTGATGACAAACATCGTGTACAAAATGTAAAAATCAAAACAGCTTTTTGAGAAAGCATCTATCCTAAATGCAGTTTCATCAGTATGAAGACAAAGAGATACAATATCTTAGTGGATCCTTGGTAAAGTTTAATATTCCTCTGTTTCAGGAGACCGAGGAAACAACGAACAACGAGCCAGCTCCTTTGCTATCATAGACATTGGAATCATACCAAAAAATGTTATTTACTTTAAAAAGCCATATGGATAAAGTCAAAGGCTGTAGAATAAGGAAGACCAAAGGTGGCAAAATAGAATAAAGAATGAAAAAAATTTGACACAGAATAAAACAAAACCTTTAATCCATGATCTCATGCCAAGCACAATATAAGTTCTCCTAACAGCTTTCACTAAAAACCAGCTTAAAGACGGGCCTGATGTAAACCATGTATGTCTCAGCTCAGGACACTCTTAGCTACCTCATTCTCTACTTTGCTTGAAAGCCTTACCAGCATATAGTCTGTGTAAAGGCAGCAGACACGGAGGTATGGATCCCTCCAATGGTGTTTGATTTCTCCATAACACTACTGCATCTTGCAAGGTGGGAGAGGAGGAATCATTGATCAGTCTTGCAAAAAATCCTTCCCTGTACAGAAGGGGTTTCAGAAAGTACCACTCCTTCATTGTTCAACATCAGAATACTGTTCTTCCCATATCCTGAGGCAGGAAAAAAACGCACACCTCATACAA